GTCGCGCGAACCGCGCCAGGGGCGGCGCCAGTGGCGCCGCCAGGGGGGGAGATGCAGATCCGCGCACCCTCCATCATTTTATGTTTGTGTCGTTCTTTGTTCCTCTGCCGCTTCTTGGGTTGGCCTGTGACCAGACATCCGAAGGGGTATAGTCCAGCCGCTGCTGCGAGCAGAGGCCGCTTCGCAGGCCCGACGGAGGGCGAACAGGACGTCCCAAGACCTCGATGCTCGATCATCCATCCTCCCTCGTCCCCCCCCGTCCTCCGTCTCGATCCTCGTCTCTCCCTGGACCCTCCCTCCTCGGACCTCGAGTGTCTGCCCTGTTCGGCCCGCCTCCTGGTCCCTCGATCCTCCTCCTCCTCCTCCACCCCTCCTCCTCCTCCTCCTCCTCCTCCTCCTCCTCCTCCTCCTCCTCCTCCTCCTCCTCCTCCTCCCGCGATCCTCCTCGTGGGCCCTCGGGGTCGGGGTGGGCGAGGGGGCGAGGTGGGCGCGAGGCGGCGCGCGTGGCCCTCCCATCGCAGGCTCGCGGGAAAGGGGACCGAGGTGGCGGACAAGGGCGAGAAGCCGGACGACGCTGAGGACACCCGGAGGGCGAGTCGGGCGGGTGGTAATGTGAAGTCGGGCTTGTCCCTCTACAGGAGGAATTATTCAACAACAGTCGAAGAGTCGTCTTGGGAGGCTTCTTTGACCATTTTTGGGGATTGTGTTTGCAGTATTTTTTGGTATCTTGGGTTTTTCGTCCAAGTCCCCCTGCAGGGGGACATGCCCGACCTAATGGTAATGGGGGGTGACCCAAATGGGGGGCTGGGAGCCAGCGCCTGTCCAAAAGGGGCCCTAAAGGGTCCCTTTAGGATTTTCTCCTTCACCCCCGTTCGGGCCACCCCCCATTTGCACCCGCTCGACCGTGGAGAGGGCGAGGGGGGAGGGCGAGGACTTCGGCCTCTCAAAATGGGGCCGGGGTATAGGTGGTGTCGCAGGGTCGCGCCACATCGTCGATGCATCGGGGATGCCGGCGCGATGCGGAGCCAGATTTTCTCGTCGCCGGCGTCGCCGATGCACCGCCGACGTCGCTGATGCATCGCCGATGCATCGCCGACGCATCGCCGATGCATTGGCGATGCGCCGCGCTCCTCCGACCCCATCTGGTCGGAGCAGATCCAGGAGGCCTCTACAGGAGGAGACGGAGGAGTGAGTGAGATGGGGAGGACGTTTGGGCAGGTTGAGACACCCCAGGGCGCCGAGGGCGCCCGTGGGGAGGGGGCAACGTCAGTGGGGGGGGATTTGCTTTGGAGGTGTCATGTTTTCGGGCGTTCTCCGAAGAAGAAAAAAACGCCATAAACATAAACTTTTGGCGCGCCGCGCGGATGTCTTGGATCTTCGCTGGACCCCCCCTACCTGGCGCGCGGAGCGCGCCAGGGACGGTAGGCTCAGGGGGAACCGCATCGATCCCCAATCGCCCATTCGTCGCCGATGGGCGCCTGGTAATGAGTTCTCCCCGCGCAGGAGCATGCGAATTTCCGCTATATCGGGGTTCGCCGAGCCATCGGCGAATTGTCGCCGACTCCAGCTCAATAGTCATGCGTTGCACTAGCGCTCTTAACGCGAGGCAGGCCTCACGGACTGGGGGGGCGTATTCACGTACGCGGCTGGGTGCATACATTGTGCTGTGGGTTCCCTCGGGTGCCCCCCTTCCTGCTGCGCCTCGCATGCTGCTTCGGCTTGTCACCGCCTGACTGCGCCTTCTTGTTCTCGTTCTCCCCTCTTTCCCCCCTCCCCCCTGTTCCCCACGTCCCTATCCTCGCGGCTGCCCCCCCCCCCCCTCCCCCGCGAGTGTTGTTGTCGACCCCCCATGTGTGGATCCAGCTTCTCCACGCCGCGCGAGCTGGGTCAGCCCGCGCGCTCGCCTGGTTGCCTCGACGCCAAGAAGTGGGCTTCAAAGGGGATGGAGAAGAAGGGCGCGCAACAGGCGAGGGACAACTGACGGCACAGAGACAAATGTTCGGAGGTCTGTGCGGCACAAGCTCGGCCGCGCATCATTGGAGCCATGTGTACCGTCGTAACTTCGTCTTCAGAGTGCACTAGCATCGACTAGCGTCTGGTAATCGTTGAGGTAGCGCGCTCCGGTTAGCGCCGACTTAGCCTCGTTGAGCCTCGACCATCGACGTTTTGCAAACAAACAACAAGATGGTATTGGAGATTTCCTTGAGTTGCTGCAGAAGCGTAAACATTACACATAGGAAGTCCGAGCAACGGTGACAGCAATAGCACGAGGGACACCGACAGAGCACCACGGCGACCCGAGACAGCAGGCACGAGCTTGTCGAGGAGCAGGAGGACGGCCTGGACTCGGACGTCTGCCGTCACGAAGCAGATCGGTGTAAGTCAGGAGGGAAAATATCACACACAGAGACACAACTAATCGTCGACCCCCGAGAAAACATTGGAAAATATGGAGCTCGGTGCTCCCTGATTGTTTCACAGCTTGCCCAATGGTTTTCCTTGGGCTTTCGACGGGAAGCCGAAGCTTCTCATTTATGGATACCAGGGGCCTCGTTCCTCATTTGAGGTTCCTTAGGTCAGCGCCCCGACTGTATGCAAATAGGGTGGGGTTTTACTGGCTTCGCGACCCCATTTTCAGGCGGCCAGCCGACGTCAGGGCAGGGCGGGCTACGCAGTGGCCAGGGTATGGGAACGGGAGGGGAAGGGATGCTGCGCAGGGACCAGCGAAACGGAGAAGGGAAGGGAAGGAGGGCTCCTCCGCGCCATCGTGCTAGCCCGCCTGTGCCGCAGAATGGAGGGAAGATGGAGGCGGAGGCATCACACTAGTAACAAGATCCTCCTCCTCCTCCTCCTCCTCCTCCTCCTTCTCCTCCTCCTCCCCCTCCTCCTCCTCCTCCTCCTCCTCCTCCTCCTCCTCCCCCTCCTCCTCCTCCCCCTTCTCCTCCTCCTCCTCCTCCTCCTCCTCCCTCCTCCTCCTCCTCCTCCTCCTCCTCCTCCTCCGCCTCCTCCTCCTCCTCCTCCCCCTCCCCCTCCTCCACCCTTGGGGTACGGAGATAAGACTTTCGGAGGTCCGCGCGGATTTCTTGGTTCGGCCCCGTTCCCCCCCCCAACCCCCATGGCGAGCGAAGCGCGCACACGGCAGTGCCAGAAGCACGGCCGGTGGGGCTTCGGCGCCGATCCGAGGAACCCGCTTCGGACCTAATCCAGTTTCTATGTCTACGCAGCTCTTTCTTGTAGAATTGAAGAGGAGGAGGAGGAGGAGGAGGAGGAGGAGGAGGAGGAGGAGGAGGAGGAGGAGGAGGGCCCCGAAGCACACGCGCAGGATGCGGTCAACGACCTGCTGGCGACGAGTGGGCCCAGAACCCCTCCAGGGAGCACTCACCCGCCCAGCACCCCCCCTTTCCGTCCAGGGAGGTGGGCGGTGGGGAGGAGGGGGAGGAGGGGGAGGAGGAGGAGGAGGAGGAGGAGGAGGAGGAGGAGGAGGAGGAGGAGGCGGGGGGGGAGGAGAAGGCAGGCCAAGACGAGGAGGAGGAGGAGGAGTAAGAGGAGGCGGAGGAGGAGGAGGAGGAGTAAGAGGAGGCGAAGGAGGAGGAGGAGGAGGAGGAGGAGGAGGAGGAGGAGAAGGAGGCGGAGGAGGAGGATCAGGAGGAGGAGGAGGAGGAGGAGGAGGAGGAGGAGGAGAAGAGGGGGGACAGAGACGATGAGGTGGGCCACGCACTGTGACGGCCTCGGAATTTACAAGGGCGGGGGCCTCCTCGGGGGATCGCCCAGGGGGGGCGGGGCGCCCGTCGTCGGGGCGGCGCGGGCCTCGAACGTCCAGGCCAGGAGGGAAGGCGAGGAGGACGTCGTCGGATACGGATAAATGGGAGGAGTGGCAGGAGCGCGGGGGGAGGACTTGGAGGAGGCAGAGGATCATGGTGAGGAGCAGGGGCGGGCGGGGACGGGAGCAGGCGGCCGCTCGCCCTGCTTGATGCGTTGCTCGCTTTGCTTGTGTCGGATTGTGCGGTTGCGTCCTGTTGCCGCCGAGCGTTGCACGCCTGACGCTTTGGAGCCCGTCCAGTCCAAGTGTTGAAAAGGGGACGGGGATCGGAGCCAGGAGGGGGGGGGGAGTGGGATGAGTAAGACGAGGAGCAGGCGAGGGAGGAGGGGGCGGACGAGTCGGACAAGGGGGGACGAGCAGCCGATGCGGAGGACGAACTGTAGCAGGAAGGGGGCGGAGCTGGGTGAAGGAGGAGGAGGAGGAGGTGGTGGCAGGGCTGGTGAAGACAAGCTAGACTCGCTCGCGCCATATCTCACATCCCAGCCTTTCCCATCATGCTGGTTTCGTTTGTATCCCTGGTGTTGCCTACAAAGCCTTGACCCCGGAAGTGGTCCCATCGTGTGATGCGCATTCGGACAGGGGAGCTCTGTACATATGAGAAGGGGACGGAGAGTGGACAGGATGCAGAGGAGGAGGAATGAGGATGAGAAGGAGGAGGAGAATCAGCAGCATCAGCAGCTGGATAGGCGGAGCAGGCGGATCAGCGGAAGGAGAAAACAGGTGAAAGGAGGGGGCAGTATCGACGAGGAATGAATCGGACACAGATGCGTGGCCCGCGCGGGGGCGAGAGCGCCATTCTAAACGACGGAAGCAAAACTGCTATTCTAAAATGTGGCCAGCGACGAAATACCGATGGAAGGTATAGCAGGGGCACTAGATTGAAGCCATTCCTGGACAGTCCTGCGTGTAAAAAACGGTATGAAAGATGGGCGGAGGGAATGAAGACAGGATCAGGGGACAGGAGGGTAGCATCCACAGTGTTGAATCGGTCAGGCGCAGGGAGTGGAGGCCGACGCTCGCCGCAGAGTGACACGGGGCGAGTGGACGCTCCGGCCTGCTCGCGTCGTCGCCCGGATTGGCACATGCCCTGGGCCACCCCGACCCTGTGCCGAAGGAGGGGGGAAGGGGGGGGGGGGGGGGATCGGGCCCCGGGGAGAGCCGTGGGCAGGCTGTGGGGAGGATGGACGAGCGAGAACAGGCAGTGTGTGTTGGGGAGAAGAGCATCTCCCTCCACAACCTCCTCCTCCTCCTCCTCCTCCTCCTCCTCCTCCTCCTCCTCCTCCTCCTCCTCCTCCTCCTCCTCCCCCTCCCCCTCCCCCTCCCCCTCCCCCTTCTCCTCCCCCTCCTCCTCCTCCTGAATCCTTCTCCATCCGCCCCCCCTTGGGGTATGACAGGGAGGGGAGGGGCGTTGAACGAGGAGGGGGAGGGTCTGGAGTGCCAGATGGTGTGGAGGTGGACAGGGGGCGATAGGTCGTGAGGAGTGCTGAGGAGGAGGGGGCGGGGAGTGGCGAGGAGGGAGGAGGTCCGAGGTGGGGGGTGCGGCAGGGCTCTGCGGTCGTGGAGGAAGGCCGGACGAGGGAGGAGGAGCGGGCGGAAGGGGGATACAGTCAATACGTTGAAATAAGGAACAGTTTGGGTTCGGAAGGGGCTCGATGTTCCTAGGTTCCTCCAGTGCTGTTCCTCTTGCCCTCCTGGGGCACGGAGGCGCTTACAGGGGCAAGAAGGGGCTTCGTTCCTTCTTTGGCGTTCCTTCTTTCAGCGGCCCGACTGTAGACGAGGGAGCCTGGTTGGAGCGAGGAGAGATACAGGAGCGGCGAGGGACCTGTGATGAGGGCGGGTGGAGGAGGTAATTGTTCAATGGGGGAGGTCGGTGTGGGGTGAGATGATCTGACGGAGGAGGTCGGTGTGGGGTGAGATGGGTGACGGAGGTGAGAGCAGGGATGGGGAATGGCGGGCAGCTGTATTACAGGAGCGTGATGGGGTAGGAGGGAAGGGAGGCTGGAGAAAACAGACTATTCGATAGGAGATCGGCGGGAGAGGAGGGACGAGGAAGGAGTCTGAATGGGGAGAGAAGGAGGAAATGAAGTGGGGGGAGGAGGACTTGCGATGGAAGATGGAGTTTTGAGGAAGAGTATCGATGTTGTTTTCCTGGGCGTTCCCGGGGCCCGCGAGGTGAGGGCCGGGCTCCGGAACCTGCTGGGCGTAGAGGACAACAGGATGGCCCAGAAGCTGCAGGAGCAGTGCGAGGCCGCCGCGCGCCGTACGAGGGGCAGACAGAAGAGCTGATGGCTGAGAGGGGCTGGGCTGAACTCCGGCCTGCCCCTTCACAGGAGGGATCTTCAGAAAAAAGCGAAACGATAGTAATGTGGGGACGATTTTTTGGGATAATTTTGAAAATGTTGTATTTTGTCTTTTGTTTTTTTATATTTTTCTTTTTCGTCAGAATCCCCCCCTGTAGGGGGACAGGCCCGACCTCAAGCTGGGAGGAGGCGGCATGATGAGGGACACAGTTGCGGAGTGTAGGAGCAGGAGGGGGAAGAGAACGAAGGAGAGGAGGAGGAGGTGATAAGGCATGGCGGTGAAAGGAGGAATGCGGCCAGCGCAATGGGAGGGAAGGTGGTGCAGAGAGGGAAATGGAGGGGGATTGAGGCGGGAGGACGGGGGAGGGCAGTGGAAACCGTACAGATGAAGGAGGCGGGAGGGAAAACTAGGAGGGAAGGAGGGAGGGAGGATGGAGGAAGGTTGGATGATGGGTCAGACAGGGGAAGCACATTGAAACGATAAGTCAGGTGAAGGATTGAGGTGGGATGATGGAGGATGGAGAACGAGTAGGAGCGAGAGAGCAGAAGGGACGGCAGAGGACAGGGACAAGGGAAATGATAAAGAGTGGCAGGCATGGGAGAAAGATGATGATTCGGATGACGAAGGCGAAGAGGAGAGAGGATGGAGATATCTGGGAAGGACGCAGCTGGAGAGATGAACAAGAAACGAGGGTGGAGGACGGAGGAAGCACGAGGATGCAGGGAACGGAGGAGGGAGGAGCAGACGGAGAGCGAGATATATATATATAGAGAGAGAGAGAGAGAGAGAGAGACAGGAAGTGGAAGAAGGGAGGATGAGACGGAGGGAGAGAGAACGGGAGGAGAGAGGGGCGTGGGCGAGGGTTGGTATGAAGGAAAGAAGGGATGAGGAGGACGACTACTTTCAGTTGTAGCAGTAGTTGTGGTGGTGGTTGTGGTAGTGGTAGGAGTTGTGCGCAGCTGCGGGACAGCGGGGTGATGCGGACGCCGACTGAACTAACGCAGAAGTAGTGGGAGGGGACACCATGGGGAGGACGGGTGAGGAGGAGGAGGAGGAGGAGGAGGAGGAGGAGGAGGAGGAGGAGGGCGACGAGAAATAGGAATCTGGGAGTCGGGAGAAGCAGGAGGGAGCAGGGATGACCAGGGCCCCAGCAGGGTGAGGGGACCAGCCAGGTCGCCACGGACATGAAGCGCTGCATGGCCGATGTGGAGGCGGGCTCAGGGCAGTGGCTTCGGGGGTCGCCTTCGTCGTTGTTGCCGCCGCCCTCGGTGCCGACTTCGCCTCCGCAGTCGTTGTCGTGGTCGGCGCCGCCCCCGCCGTCGCCGGGCGTCGCCCAGCGGCGTCGTCGCGCCAGGCGCCCTCTCCTCCAGCAGGCTCAGAGGCCAGCCAAGCGCAGCGCAGCATCACCGACGCGATCGTAGCCGACGCCACGCGCGGGACGCGCCAGACGCCCCCCTTCTCCGGCGGGCACACGGGCCAAGCGCAAGCGCAGCATCACAGACGCGATCGCAGCCGTCGTCCCGCCCGGCGCCCGCTCGGCCGCCGTGCGGCGGGCGGGCGCCTCCGACGCTCAGCCCTGCCGTGGGTCCGGCCGTGTGCCCCGGGCACGCCGGGGCCTGCGAGCTCGCCCGCCCCGTGCTGGCGTTGGGTCGGGCTTGTCCCCCTACAGGGGGATTTTGGGCGAAAAAATTAGAAATAGTCACAAAAAAACCTATTCCACAAATGGTCAAAAATAATCAAGACATCGTCCCCGGACTTTTTTGACTATTTTTGGATATTCCCCCTGTAGGGGGACAGGCCCGCCCCGTGCTGGCGCACTCCTGAGAGGGCCTGGCCGTCGAGGGCCGAGGCGGCTGGCACCTCGCTGCCCTGGTCGGAGGCCGGGAGAACGACGACGGCCGCGACGGGCAGAGTCATGCGCGGCGGAGGTCGGGCGCCAGGCCTGCGCGCTCCCGAGCCGCCCCACGCGGGCGACGTCGCTTCGGGGGGCGCGTAATGACGGAGGGGCGACAGGTACAGTCGAGGTCGATTAGTAGGTCGACCTTGCCAATCAAGGGTACCCTTGTGCCCTGTGTGTCGCGACCCGTGCCTCCTACATTCCTATGGCAATGTGGCCCTCGGAAGGGTCTTGCGTTCTATCGCGTGTCCTATCCAATCAATCCTGACTGTAGGGGCAGCCAGGGGTACCGAGCGGGGCCCGGCGGGGCCCAGAAGGGGCCCTCTGGGGCCCCAGCGGGGCACCGTGTCTTCCCACAGTACAACAACGGACGATCTCAAGCCTGTGATGTGTGCGGCGTCTTGTTTTGCAGGCGCTCTGTGGTGAGCTTTCGCCGTCCCCCCCCCCCCAAGCGGTTCGCGCCCAGTGGCCCCCACCCAGCCCGGTCAGGGCTGCAGGGGGCTGGCGATGGGGCGGGCCCCTCCTCGCAGGGAGGTCCGCGATCGGGGCTCTTTCGCAGGACGCAGGCGGCGGCGGCCAAAGAAAAAGCGGGTGCGGTGGCTGCGCCGGCGGAAGCTGGCGGCAACGTCGTTCGCATACGCGCAAGAAGACCCTTCGCCAGAGTGACCATTGGTTCGGACTCACGGGGGTCCCCCCCGATCGCGGAGCGCGATGCGGTAGTGGATGATTTCGCGCTTGGATGTGGCCACCTTGCGCCCCCTCACGCGGGGCCCTGAAGGTAATTCTTGCCTATGGGGCACTCCTTGCGTGTGGCTGAGCTGTCATAACCCAGGGATTCTGGAGCCCATGGGGCGAAATATTCTACCATCTTCGTTCTCTCCAGATGGAACTCTCCGAGTCATGGTTAGCAATGTCCTGGTTTATGGTGCCCTACAGGGTTGACGCGAGGTGCTTGAACGTTCGCTGGCCGCCGCGGTGACAAGCGAACTATGGGCATCCCCCCGACCTGGTTCTGATCAGAGAGAATATTGTTCTGGTCTCTTATGGCGCGCCCCTGATATTGCCACCGACCCTGGGGTCTGCCGGATCGCAAGGATGGGGATGGGCATGAGATTGGCGCCCCCGACTACCTCAAGAGTGGATAGGGGGTATAGTGCGGTTAGAAGGGGGCGGAAGAGTGGGGGGGTAACGATGAGTCGTGCCTGTCCCTCTATAGGAGGCAATTTCAAGAATAGTCCAAAAATATAAGGATTTTTGTTTGGTTTACTTTGGACGTTTTCTGAGTTTTTTGTTGATAATTTGTGCATTTGTCGTCCAAAATCCGCCTGTAGGAGGACGCGCCCGACCGAAGGGTAACGCCACGCCCACCCAGCGCAACGGGGGATGTGATACCCCCCTTGCGTCGCCCCCCTGGGAGCGGCGGCGGTGCGTTGCCCGCCCGCGTGCTGGCACGAAGTGCCGGGGTGGGACAGGGTCTGCGTGCACGGCAATGCCTGTGCAGACAGTGGTGTGTGTGTGTGTGTGCAGGTGTGCAGGTGTGCAGGTGTGCAGGTGTGTGTGTGTGTGTGCCCCGGCGCTGCCGCCGCGCGCCGCCACCCTGCTGCTGGCGCCGCCGGCCCGGGCGGGCGGCGCGGAAGCCGCGTGGCGCGAGGCGCTGCGGCTGCGGCTCGCGGCGCGCCTGGGGGGACCGCTTAATTAGTTGCACGCTCCCCCCTCCCCCTCCCTCCCCCTTCACCTCCTTCTCCTCCCCCCTTGCCACAGGGCGCTCCGAAGATGGTACAAAAAAGTGTGTGTGTGTGTGTGCCTGCTTGCACCATTATTCGAGCAGTGGCGAAGCGTCCTGGCTCGCCTATGCGCCCGACGAAGGATGTTCTAAGAGCCTTTCGCGGTTTGTACTACATGTTTTTGGCCACATTTTTTGCTGTGGCTGTTCTATTGTAACACATTGGCTTTATGTTCTAAGAACAGTGTGTTTGTTTTGAGAACTTTTGCGGGTTCCGAAAACATGTCGTGGCAGGCCTATAGGAATGCGGGGACGGTCGGTCCCTGCACAAAGTATGCCTGCGTCCACCATTGCTGCCACTGCATCAGTCGCCTCCGCGTGCACCACAGCGCCTGCGTGCGCCACAGCAGCCGTGGGCACCTCTACGCTTGTGTACACCACAGCGCCTGTGCACACAGTAAAACCTGTGTGCACCACTGCTGCTGCTTCAGCAGTATCTGTGTGCACCAGAGCGCCTGTACATCACAGTGCTTGTGTACACCACAAGGCCTCTGTGCACCTCCGGGGACTCGACGGGGTCAAAATCCTGAAAATCGCGGAAGGGCCGAGCATACACTATTCAATATGTGAAATAGGTGTGATCATTCACTCTCTGGCCCAGCGTACGGTCCCTGAAGGTTGGGCCGACAATGCTTGCGTGCACCACACTTCCTATGTCACTTCAATGTCTCGGTTCGCAGCAGTGCTGGTGTACACCAGCACGTCTGTACGTTGCACACCGCCTTTGTACGCCACAGCGCCTGTGTACACCACAGGGCGTGTGTACACAACGATGCCCGTGTACCTCATAATGCATGTGTACACCACCGTGTCTGTTCACAACATGGATGGTGTTGTTGCAGCATCAGCTGTGTGCGCCACAGCACGTGTGTACTCTACATCTCCCGTGTGCCCCATGCGTCTAGTGCGCACCGCACCACACGAGCCCAGGCCAGAGAAAAAACAATACTCACAAGTATTTGTCATATTGGATTTGATACGCGCTACCCCCTCCCGCCGCATTTGTTTCTGATGCTGGCGTCGTCGGGACCCTGGAGGTGCACGTACATACGACGACGTCCACCATGTGCTCGCTCCCGATCGCCACAAACGTGCACGCGAGCACCACAGCGCCTCTGCGAGCAAGAGCAGCGAAACACGTGTGTACAGCAGCATGCCAGAAATTACCATGTCCAATGTGTTTGGGGGCTCAACGCAGCGCTTGCAAGCACCACGATCGCCTGCGAACCCCACCAATTTCCTACGCACACTGCAGTGCGCTTCCGAGCTCAGCACCAACTCGCGCGTGCACAACTGTTCCAAACCTTGTTTCTAACATGAAGTCGGTATGTCCCTCTACAAGGGGGGTTTTCAAACATGGTCAAAGCTAGTCTGGGATCTATTTTTCTGTAGTATGTTTGATCATCTTGTGGAGTATGTTTTTATGTATGTTGGATCTTTCGTCCCAAATCCGCCTGTAGGAGGACAAGCCCGACCTAACACTAGCACAGCTGCTGGAGCTTGTTATGATAAGTGTGCGCGGCGCCAGTGCGAACGCCCAGTTTCGAAACTGACTAACCGTCCACCTGTGCACCTGGCAGAGGGCACAGCAGAAGGCACAGCGGGGGGGGGGCAGAGGGCACAGCAGGAGGAGGAGACGAGATAAAAGGAGCAGGTGGAGAAAGGGAGAAAGGATAGGGGGAGGAGGAGGAGGAGGAGGAGGAGGAGGAGGAGGAGGAGGAGGAGGAGGGGCAGGAGGAGGAGGAGGAGGAGGAGGAGCAGAAGGAGGAAGGTGGAGGAGGAGCAGGAGCAGGAGCAGGTGGGGGAGAAGCAGGAGGAGGAGGAGGTGGATGAGGAGGAGGAATGCTGCATATGATCTACAGAGACATACGCCCCACAGTCCTGCCGCCTCGGCCGCCTCCTCGGGCCCCTCGCTCTCCCGCCTCCTCGCCGTCGGGGGCCTCGGGAGCGAGGCGCAGGAGCTCCGCGAGCTCGGCCTCGCTCTCGAGGTGGTCCGTGGGGTCGGGAGGGCACCCTGGCCCAGGGCTCGTTTCGATTCCTCCGGTTCGCTTCGGTTCGATTTCGACGGATCCCGATCTCGATTCGATTCGACTTTGGTTCTCGATCCGGGCTCCGACCTCTCTCTCTCCTTGGACGCACGCTGGCCTTTGCCGCTTTCCGCCGAGCCGGCCCTTCCCGACTCGGCGGCCGACCTCCGCCGATCCGATGCGTGCCGATTTCCGACCCGACCCGTCGATCCGATTCCGGGCCCTCCTCACAGGCGGCCCGCAGGGCTCCACGCCGGGCCCGCCCTCCCGCACCGCCCGCGGCGGCTCCGCGCCGGCCTCGGGGCCGGCGCGCGGGGCGCCGTCGCCGGGCGCCCGCCTCCGAGGGGCGGCCTTCTCCTCGCCGTCGGCGTCGCGCGTGGACCGTGCAGCCTGCGCGTCGGCGGGGGACAGAGCAGCAGGAAGAGAAGGACGTGCAGGGAGAAGGAGGGGCATGAGGAGCAGCCGGAGGAGGAGGGGGAGGAGGAGGAGGAGGAGGAGGGAGGAGGAGGAGGAGGAGGAGGAGGAGGAGGAAGGGAGGATGAGGAGCAGGAGGAGCAGGAGCAGGAGCAGCAGCAGAAGGCAGGAGGAGGCAGGAGGAAGAGGAGATAGAGTACGTGGAGGAGGCAGGACGAGGGAGGGCAGGACGAGGGAGAAGGAGGAGGAGAGGAGGAGGAGGAGGAGGAGGAGGAGGAGGAGGAGGAGGGGGCAAAAGGAGGAGGAGGGACCGACGGGACGAGTGGGAGGAGGAGGAGGAGGAGGAGGAGGAGGAGGAGGAGGCGACGACGACGAGTGGGAGGAGGAGGAGGAGGAGGAGGAGGCAGGAGTAGGAGGAGGCTATGCCCCTCAGGTGAAGTACAAAGTCGTCAAAGAGGAGCTGGCCGAGAAGGCCCAGGAGGTGGACGAGCTCCGGGCGCTGCTGCGCACCTCGGCGGCCGAGCTGGAGGAGACGAGGGCCACCGTCGCATCCCTGCAGGCGACGGGAGCGCAGCGACGGTCCTCTCCTCTCGTTGCCCTCCTCTTCCTTCTCCCTTCCGCGCCTCCTCCTCCTCCTCCTCTTCTTCCTCTTCCTCATCCTCCTCCTCCTCCTCCTCCTCCTCCTCCTCCTCCTCCTCCTCCTCCTCCTCCTCCTCCTCTCTCGTCCCCCCTTGCCGTGTTCCTCCCGAGCGCGGCAAAGGGGCCGGGAGGTGCGGGCGCGCATCCGAACGCGACACGCGCTCGCGAGCTGATGGCAGCGGTGCCTTGGGCACCTCAGCCCGCCGTGGGCTCTCCTCCCCAGTCGGGCAGCGGCCAGCGCGAACGGCATCCAGGAGCTGCCAGCTTGAAGGGCCTCTTGGTGGGCTCGCGGCCGCCCAAGAGGAAGAGCAAAGGGCACGGCCCTCGCTCCGCGTGGCGTGGGCGGGCGCCGAAGGTGCGCAGGGCGAGGAGGCGCACCGTCGGGCCGTCTGCGGCCTGGAGGCGCGCCTCGGCGGCGCGGAAGTCTGCGAGGGCGGCGGCGCCTCCGGTGCTGGCTCGAACTCTTTTGGGGATCCGCATCCTCGGTGGGCTTCCCCCTGTCCCACGGCCTGCGCCCGTGGTCTGCAGGGCGCAGGCTCTCGGAGGCACGGTCGAGGAGGCCTCGGCGGAGGAGGTCGACGGCGGCATTCTGCGGGACCCAGAGGAGCGCGCAAGGATGGCGCGTCAGAGTCCCCTTGCGGTCGTCCTGATCGCGCAGAGGTTTGGTGCCCTCTTCTCCTCTTCGATGGATGGGCCAGGTCTTCTCTCTCTCTCTCTCTCTTTCTCGTCGCCCCGATCGCGCAGAGGCTCGCGGAGGGCGGCGTCTCCAACCCGAAGGCGATGGCCATCGTCGCGACGGTTCTCGCCGAGCGCATCGACGGTGAGGTCGGCCGTGAGACCTCCAGCCTAAGCGCGTGGCGCTGCTCGCCGCTCGGTGCGGCCAAATGGGCCGTGCCAGGGGTTTTTTGGCTTCCATTTCCAGCTTTCAGCCTTCAGCCTTTTATCTATACCACAAAATCTAGATTCCAGCTTTCAGCGTTCAACCAACAAAAAACGTCCAGCTGTTTTTCCCACAAAAATCTACCTTCCAGCTTTCAGCCTCTCTCATCCCTATGTTCCCCCCTCCTCCGTCCCCTCCGCCTTCCCATCCCCGTCGTCCTCCTGCTTGCGCTCCCCAAAGAGCGCCGCCAGTCGCGGCCCCTGTAGGTTCAGAGGGATCGTGTGGTCGCGGAACCCCCGTGATTTCGGACCCCCCTCCCCTCTCCCTTCCATTTGCGCCGGAGAGGGTTTGGGGGAGACCCCCTTTGCGCCAGTTAGGGTGTTAAGGTTCGGATTCGTAAGTTAGGGTTAGGGTTAGGGCGGCATGGTTAGAATTACAGTGAAAGTGTGTGTGTGTGTGGGTGGGTGGGGGGGGGGTAGGCTTACAGCGTTAGGGTTAGGATTCTGGAGGTAGGGTTAGGATCAGGGTGTTGGTGCTAGGCTGCTCGGATTTGGGTGTTTTGAGGTTAGGGTGTAAGGCTTCGGGTGTTAGGTTTAGGGTATTAGGGTATGGGGTGTTACGGTTATGCTGAGGGTGTTAGGGTTAGGGTGTTAGGGATAGGGTGGTAGGTTCAGAGTAGTGAGAGTAGAGAGTCAGGTTAAGGGTGGTGGAGTGCCAGGGTTAGGGCGGTAGGGTTAGGGGTCGGTTGTTAGGGCTAGGATGTAAGGTTAGGGTGATCGGTATAGGGCGCTGTGGGGTTAGGGTGTAAGGTTAGGGTGTTAAAGTTAGGGTGTTCTATGGGTAGGGTGTGAGCGTCAGGATGTTGGGTTAGGGTTACGGTGTTAGTGTTACGGTGTTGAGGGTCAGGGTAATGGTGTTAGTGTAATGGTATTGAGATTGGGGTGTTAGGATTAGGGTGTTATGGTTAGTGTGAGGGCGGTACAGGTACAGGTAGAGGTAGGGTGTCAGGAGCAGGGAAAGCATTAGGGTCATGGATTAGGTGGTAGGCTCATGTTAAGTTAGAGTTAAGGTTCGGGCGATTGGGTTTGGGGTAGGGTATTGGTGTCAAGACACCCTCCTAGACAGCAAGCAGTCTAGCTCACTCCCGCCCGCCCTCCCAACACATAAGTATTACCCGAGCCACAACATGTTCAGCGCTCGTCTCTGGATGGGCAGATACTGGGAACCTAAACCGACCCCATGTGCGCGACGCTGGGTCCCTAGCGTGCCAGGCACGTCTGGTGCACCAGGTGCGCCACGTGCTCCACTTGCGCCAGGCGTGCAACATACTCCAGCCGCGCCAGGTGCGCCACGTTCGGGGTACGTCCGGATTGCGTCAGGTGTGCCTGCGCACGTGACAGCACACATCGGAAAACATGTCGGCCCCCACCATCCTTGTCGAAAGCTAATGTCCATCATTGTGTCTGGTTGGCCTGTGCATCGCAGGCCATAAGCCACCACCCCCGCTAGCCCTGTCAACAACCACTTCACAGTGATGGCGGGGTGGCTGCGCATGGTCCAGATTTATCCGCGAAGTGTATGTTGTATGGTTTTTGATAAGGATGGTGGCCCTGCGCGCAGCAGACAATACGCTGACACCCTGCCGTCCCTGTCAAAGAACATACAAAGTGCCCGCGGACCTCACGGACATGATTCAAGACTTTGCCCAAAGGTGTGCTTTGTATTGTTTTCTGAATGGTTTGGGGTCGCGTCGGGTTGGTTGCGCATGCCCCGCACGTGGAGGCAGAGTGCGGTTTGTATTGTGTGTTGACAGTGGTAGTGGGGGGTTGAGCATGGTGTCCTCATTGTTCCTGGTTGGTCGCTGGTCACCTGGGGGAGGGTGTGCATGTTAATAGGGAACCTTGCTTCAGGGTGGTAGGATTAGGGTGTTAGGGTAAGATGGCAGGTTTAGGAGCAGGGTGTTAGAGTTAGGATGTTTGGGTTATGGCGTTCGGATTCGAGTGTTAGGGTTAGGGTTAGGGCGTTAGGGTTAGGGTGAGCATGTTCGGATTAGGGTGTGAGAGTTACGGTGTTCGGTTTAGGGTGTTAGGGTGAGTGTGTTAGGGTGATGGTGGTATGGTGTTAGGGTCAGGGCGGTAGGGTTAGGGGCAGCGTGGTAGTAGGGTTAGGGTGTTATTGATACGGTGTTCGGGTGTCAGGGCTAGCGTGTTATGATTAGGGTGCTAGGTTTGAGGTGTTAGGGTTCGTGCGTTAGGTTGCTAGGGTTACGGTGCTAAGGGTGTTACAGTGAGCGGCTTGAATAAGGAACACTTGCTTTTCAAAAGGGGCTCGGTCGTTCCTTAGATGTTACATGAGTTATTTACAGTTCCTTATGAGTTATTTGTTATGTGTCATTCCTTATGCGTTATTCCTTGGGATCAAAGAGGGGCTTCGTTCCTTATTTATCGTTCCTTAGGTCAGGCCGATGACTGTAGGGTCAGGTCGGTAGGGTAAGGGATAGGGTGGTAGTAGGATTAGTGTGTTAGGTCTACGGCGTTAGGGTTAGGGTGTAGGGTTTAGGGGGTCAGGCACGGGATGTTAGGATTCTAATGCCGGGGCTAGGGTGCTATGTGCACGGTGTTAACGTTTAGTTGTTAGGGTCATGGTATTAGGGTCAGGATGATAGGGTCAGAATAATCGGGTGTTCGTGGGGTTAGGGTGTCACGGCTAGGGTGTTAGGGTTAGGGTCTTGGGGTCAGGGTGGTGTGCTTAGGGTTCCAGAGCCAAGGGGGGCGGCGCGGCTAAAGGGAGGGAGGGGGGTGGGGGCGGGGCAGGGGGAAGGGTTGGGTCCAAACACCTCCGGGGAGGAGTGATCGGGAAAGGGGTGGAGGGAGGGGGGCGGTCCCAGACCTTTCGGGGCATCCAGCGGCGCGCCCTCCCTGCAGGCGGAGGAGGCAGAGGGCGGGACCTGGGATGTGTTGTCCGCGGTTTCCTGGCTCTGGGGTGCCCCCCTCCCCGAGCCCCGGGACCGTCGAAGAGACGAGACGGGAAGAAGAGTCGTTGTCCCTCCTGAGGCCTTGCATGTCAGCATCGCCTGGCAGCCCCACCAGCCCCGCCCCTCCCGCAGATGAGGATAGGCCCCGCGGAGCGTGGAGGGAACGGCATGTATTGCAACCTCGGCCGGTAAGTCAGTGGGGCCAAGGCCATGCCAGTGGGAATTGAGATCGGTTGAACGATACTCAGAAGGGACCCCCTGGGGTGGCCTAGGACGAGATTCCGCCATGGCTTTCTCTTCTCCCAGGTAATGCTCATTAGGGGGCCACCACCTATGGGGGGTCACCAGCCTGCATTTGAAATTCGAGAATTTCAGCTCGAGGAGGTGTTTTGCACGATCTCCAGCATTTTAGGGGGCTCTGTGGCGGGGGATTCTCGGAGGTCCTGAGGGTCCCCATTGCCTTGAGGAGGCGGCGACTCCCGTTGTCCGGCGGATCGAAGATGGGGCTTCAAAGGATTACCCATTGGTCGTTGAAAATAGGTACGTCTGGATTCCCAGAACCCAATCTACTGCAAGCGCTTTCCCACTTCAAGAATCGATCTGCTTTGCTGCGTTATATTACTCTCTGGGCAGGCCCGAACCCAGTCTAATTTTTCTGCCTGGTTCTTCCGACCGATGGGTCTTGGCGCGGGCATCAATCCTCAGCGACGGCGCCTGTGTCGCAGGGGCGACGGCGTGGAACAGAAGGGTGGTTGGGGCGCACCGGGGGCCCCCAATCTGGCCAGCATGACATCGGCGCCTGCCTGCACAAAGCCAGCCACGGGCATCTGCCGAAACGCTGGCGAGCGCGATTCCACACGGGGGTCTCCTTGTTCGATTCATGGCCGCTGCCCCCGCGCGCGTTCCCTGTTCGGGTTGACCGAAAAGGGGGTCTAGCGACAAGAGGGTGGTGCAATAGATTCGGTGCAGTAGATTGGTTTGGGGCTGTAATACATCTGGGGCGCGCAATACATTCCGGGGCGCAGATTTATTGCCGGATTTTCGCGTGCAACGCATTATTCATCATAGAATGCAATACGATTCTCGTGCGCAATACATTTGCGATACACTTGCCCGAATATCTGTTGCACCACCCCGTTTCAGCTGGACCCCCTTATGGGTAACCCAAACTTGTGCTGAACAAGGAGACTGTTTTTTTTGGGTCCAGCGATAACCCGGGTTATCTGGCTTGCCCCCCCTCACCCCCGCCCCTCAGGATACGCTGACTTTGCCGGTTGTGCAGGTCCAGGGTGGAGGGGCGCGGGCATATGCAGGGCTGTCCACAGCCCGAAGGTTAGGTTATCGGCCGGCCCCCTCCTCCCCTCCTCCCCCCCCCGGATAACCCGGGTGAACGCCGATTCAAAAAAAAATGCCTTCGAACCTGTGCTGGACCAGCTTGCTGGTGGGGGTGTTGTACAGAAGCCGTGCCCCCTCGGGGCTGCCTGCTTTGAGCCCGCCGGCCTGTGGCGATCCCCCCCTCGGCGCCGAGCCCGGCCCCCGAGCCTTAACGAAGTCGGGCGTGTCCTGCTACAGGAGGGCTATTCAGAAATAGTCAAAACATAGTCTGGGCACGATGTCTTGATTACACACTGCTCGTATCTAGTTTTTTGAAAATTCCTTGATTTTTTTTGGGGCCAGGATCATCTCATTTCTAAGTGTTCTATCCTGGGCCTCATCCTGGCCGCTAGGGGGCCAGGAACACTTAGAAACGAGCACAATTTGAAATGAGCACGATTAGAAATGAACGACGTCTGTTCAAAAATAGTCCAAAAATAGTCTGGGCACGATGTTTACATTATTCTCCAGTATTTTTTGAAATATTGTTGGAACATGTTTCAATTTGTCGTCCAAGAACCGCCTGTAGGGGGACACGCCCGACCTAACCCGAGCCCGAAGGCGAAGGGCGCAGAGCACTGGGCCGACAAGAAGGCCATCGAGGCGGAGCGCGACCACGCCCTGCGGCAGGCGGAGATGGCGAAGAAGCAGGCTGGGAGGAAGGGTTGAAGAGGAAAAAACAACATACACCCTAGGCGATGTTTAAGGAAACCCAAGTTTTCGGCCAGATTCTCGATGTTTCTTAACGTTTCAATGTGAATCCTAAGATCTGAATAGAAATCCTGGGTTTTTATTCAAGTTCTGAGACTATGAATTTCTTAACCCATGATTTCTTAAGCATTTCGCGGGGTGTAAACATAAACTGTTGGCGCTCCGCGCGGATTTCTTGGATCCGCGTTGGGCCCCCCCGGCGGCGCCTCCGGCGCCGCCCCTGGCGCGCTCCGCGCGCCAGGGAGGGGAGTCTGGCGCGGACGCAAGAAATCCGCGCGGAGCGCAGAAAATGTATGTTTGTGTGGTTTTCTCTTCTTCTAAAGGGGGCATCGACGATCTCGCAATCGAGGTGCGAGGTTTTCGGACGTGTTCGTCTTCTCGCGGCGATTGTTGAACCTGGGGGTGCGTTCCAGCATCTGCGCCTCGCCGAGAGCGTTCTGGTGGTGTCCACATCATCCCAACGGGCCGCTGGAGAGGCGAGTTGAGACTCGAAAAATATTGGGAAACGTTCGGGGGGGGATAGGCTCAGGGGGGATGCGTCGAACCCCCCATCGCCCATTCATCGTCGATAGGGGCATGACAGCCCATCCCGCCAAGGAACGTTCGAATTTGCCATGGCGGGCCTAGTGCCGATCTATCGGCGACGTATCGTCGATTCCAGGTCGATGTTTTGCCTCCCTGAGCTGGCCTACACGTTGGAGTGTGTATACTACACGTGGCATGTCTTTGTCGCATAGATATACATAGGTATACACGCATCTGTGCATGTGCATGTATGTGCAGATGTCTATCATACATGCGGGCCCTGGCATGTGCGTGCACTCCTGCTACAGTCGAACATCGTTGTTTGGGGGTGAGGCGGGGCGCACGGGCCCGCTCTTCCGGCTCGTCCACGCGTGCTCGTGCGATGACAGAAGTGGGCAGGACCCATATACGTTTAAGTCGTGCGCACGTCCCTCTACAGGAGGAATCTCCAAACATAGTAAAGAAATAGTATGGGGACGATGTTTTAAGTATGTTTGAAACATGTTTGCATATGTTTGATTATGTTTTAGTTTTCATCGAAAATCTCTCTGTAGGAGGACATGCCCAGCTTAACTACACTCAAGCATACCACATCTTGGTTCCGCGGACGCGCCAGAGCCCATACAGCGAACCCAGCACGGTCTCAGGCTCAGCAAGCTGTCCTTCCGCGGGGCCCGTGCTGGTGCTCGCGATGGTGCGGAAGAAGTGGGGTGGGGTGCAGCAGAAAGTGGAATGACATGTAATGTGTTGGTCCCCACATGCTAAGTATGCTCCTGGTTTTCTTCCCACCTGCGTCGCACCCGCGTCTCACACCGTCCTCACACCTCCTGCTCCTCCTCCTCCTTCTCCTCCTCCTCCTCATCCTCCTCATGCTCCTCCTCCTCCTTCTCCTGGTCCTCCTCGTCCAGATACGCGCACACACCATACATACATACAAACATACCTACACTCTAGCAAGACACAGACGCGGACATAGTCACTCGCATGGCACATGAGATGCACGTCTTCATACAGCCGCGCACACACACACATCATTCATATACACACGACACACAGACGCAGACGCAGACGTTCACACACACACGCACGGCACACGCATGAGGGAGCTAGTAACTTGCATGACGCAGGAAATGCACGTCCACATACAGCCGCTGTTGCTGCTGATGATGCTGATGATGGTGGCGTTGGTGACGGTAAGGAGGATTAGGTTGATAATAATGATGTTGCTGATGATGATGACGATGATGTTGTTGATGATGATGATGATATTGGTGGTGATGGTGATGATGGTGATGCTGGCGTCGCCGACGATGAGTTTGATGCTGGCGCTGATACCGATGCTGATGATGATGATAATTCTGATCACGACGACGATGAAACTAATGTTGATGTTGAGGACTTTGAAGGTGGTGCTGATGTTGGTGATGATGGCGGTGGCGATGTTGGTGTTGGTGATGGTGAGGATGATGCTGATTGTGCTGAGGATGAGTCTGGTGGTTATGATGCTATCAGTGGAGACGATGATGATGCTGCTGATGTTGATGATTATGATAATGATGATGCTGTTGATGATGATGATTCTGATGACGATGGCAATTATGCTGCTGATCATGATGAGGGCAGTGATGCAGATGCTGCTGATGATGATGAACATATGATGGTGGTGGTGATGATGATGCTGCTGCTGATGATGATTACGATGATGATGATGCTGATGATGATGATGCTGATGATGATGATGATGCTGATGCTGATGATGATGCTGATGATGATGATGATGATGATGATGATGATGATGGTCCCCCTCTTACTGGAACGCGCGAAGTGCACAGAATTAGCGGGGACGGCCCAACTCGACCCTGCGGGCCCCCGAGGGTCCCTGGGCGGAACCTGGGCCACGACCGCCGCAGCAACCGTCAACTGGCCGCAGCGACCGCCAACTGGCACAAGCCAAGGTCTACCCTCCCCGACGAGCACCGCATTGGACGAGGGGCCGCGATCCCCTTCCTTACCAGAACGGGGGGCCCGGGGAGCCAGGCAAGCACGGTTGTGTCCACCAGTCGTTGATGTTGATGATGGTGATGATCATGAAGATGATATTGTTGATGGTGATGATGATGATGATGATGATGATGATGATGATGATGATGACGGTGATGATGATGATGATGATGATGATGATGATGATGATGATGATGATGATGCTGATGATGATGATGATGGTGGGGATGAAGTTGATGATGATGATCATGATCATGATCATGCTGATGATCATGATGACGACCATGCTGATCATGATGTTGGTGATGATGACGACGGGGATGCTGATGAGGACGATGGCGATGATGATGATGATGATAACGATACTGATGCTGATGATACTTGTGTTTGTGATGATGGTGGTGCCAGTGGTGGTGATGATGGTAATGATGACCCATCAGGTTCATGATGACAAGTGTTTTGGTGGGGATGGTGATGCTGATGATGAGTTGGATGATTGTGCTGATCATGATGCTGATGATGCTGATGATGATGATGGAGGTGGAGGAGGAAGAGGAGGAAGAGGAACAACAGACGGAGGAGAAGGAGGAAGACGAATGCGACACATCGCTGCAAGCGTTGCCCAGTAATCTATCTAGGATATCAGTGTCTACGAGGCGCGCGCGAACACTGGGAAGACGACGGGGAGAAGGAGCAGCAGACACCGAGACTTCAAGCGAGGCCAAGTTTGATTAGTAGAGACGAGAGAGAGGGAGAACAGTAAGGACCTGAGAGGAGACAAGAGGAATTAAGACGCGAGTGGAGAAAGAGTTGGACTAGGAGTAGGACGTGGATCAAGCTAGCCAGCTCGAGCGAGTCAAGCATGGTATGCCCATTCCCACCCGCCCTCCCACAACATAAAAAACAGTGCTGGCGCAACTGGGTACCGAAAGCAGATCGGCAAGGTGGTTTGCCACAGCTGACGCAGCCGCAATGGCGGTTACCGATGGGAAATTTCTGGCGCGTCTCAAAGACTGTTGGCATTTCAGCACGAGCCGAGGAGGCCCCAGGAAGCTTCAGGAGGCCACAGGAGGCCTCCGGAGGCCCCAGGAGGCCCCAGGAGGTTGCAGAAAACCCCAGCGAACCTCCTGGGCCCATGAAGCCCCAGGAGGTTCCAGGAGGCTTCCGGAAGCCGTAGGAGGTGTCAGAAAACCCCCTCAGGAAACCCCAGGATGCTCCAGGAGGCCCCAGGAGGATCCACGAGGCCCTGGAGAAGCCCCAGGCAGCTCAGGATGTTCCAGGAGACACTGGGAGGTCCCAGGGGGCCTTAGGCGCTCGACGAATTCGCGGGCGAAAAATGTGCGCCGAGCCTTAGCAGGAACGCAACTTTCAGAAAGCATGCGCGATGCGCCCTGTCTCGCGCGATGTGCACCGCACCCCATTCCTGCCACGCATTTCGCAAAACCGACGAAAGAAGTCTTCGCTGAGAAGAAGCATGTCGACTTTGCATCGTTTTTTGGCAGGTCGGATGGCCCATCCCGCTTGGGGTTGCCCCAAACGTCCGCGCGCGATGTGCGCCGCGTCCCATTCCAGCCACACATTTCGCATCGTCGACGGCAAGGCCAGATTGAGAGAAACGACGACGACTTTGGATTGATTTTTGTTAGTTCGGATGCGAGGGCCCGGATTGACGTCCGCGCGCGATGCGCGCCGCGTCTCATTCCGACTACGCATTTCGCATCGTCGACGACAAGGCAGGCCATGTTGAGAACAATCAGCGATGACTTCGTACTGACGTTTTACAGTTCGGATTGGAGGGCCCGGATGGAAGTGCTATCGGCCGGTCAGAAGGGGGGAGCAGAGCATATTATAAAGACGAAGGACTACAAAGGATAAGGCAAGCGTCTCTTGCCTAAAACCTATGCGAGCTGAGCGCACGCGTGATTCTTGGCTGTGCGTGTGTGTATCAGCGCACACGCCTCCTTGGCCAGGCCACAGGGGCGTGTGCACCGATCCTGTGCCCAGGGCGAGCTCGGCCAGGGGTCGGTGCACACACTGACAAGGGTCTTGTCCACCGGCCTGCCCGCCCCGCTTCCCTTTGCACGTCGTCGACAGGCGCAGGCGGCAGAGCTGAAGGTGGAGGTGGAGCTGAAGAGCGCAAGGGCCGAGATCGAGCGCGAGCGGGAGGCGAGGAAGAAGGCAGAGCTCCAGGCGTCGCGGCGGCCGCGGCGCGTCTCGGCGGGGCCGCGTGCTCGTTAGCGCCGTGGCGTTCTGCGGGGGTGCCTGCATGGCGGGGGCGCTGGTCACGCCACCGATCGCAGGGCCCAGGAATCGGCCCAGCCTCGGCCGCGTTCAAAGGCGACTTCTCGCCAGGAGTTACCTGTGGCACGACACCCCGCCCGCCCCCCAGCAGGGGCCCCTGGCCCGCGCCCCTGGGTTTGCCCCCCTCGGCCCCGCCGAGGCCGCGCACCAGAGGTTTTTCCGAGGGTCCCTGTCCCGCGTAGCTACGTGAACGCTCTCGGAAGACGGTGGGAGGCGGCCGTGTCCTGGCTCGTCGCGCGGGGGGTGGACCTGGCTCGGTCAGACCCTTCCCCACGGCAGCTGATTGTGTCGTTGGTGTGCCCCCGGCAGCAGATTGGGTCATCGTGTCCTGGCTCGTCGCGCGGGGGGTGGACCTGGCTCGGTCAGACCCTTCCCCACGGCAGCTGATTGTGTCGTTGGTGTGCCCCCGGCAGCAGATTGGGTCATTGGTGTGCAGCGGGGTTTTGCATGGATTGAACTTTACGCATAAATCCGTTGCAGCACGTCCGCAAGGCCGGCGCAGTGAAGTGACATTGTTGTGCTCGTGCTCTGGGCGGTGCTTTGGTCGGCCTGTGGGATCCGCGACGCGGCTTGGGCGCAGTACCGCTACGGTCGAGTGAGGTCAGGCAGGCCCACGCAGAAGACGACTCGTCCCAGCGTGCTCTGGAACGCTCGCGGCGCCCGATGACATCCTCCGGGGTACGCCAGCTCTCGGAGATCCTGGAGCTATCTCTGCCCGAGACTGTCTCCTGCCGTCGTGAGAGGTCGTCAGATCGATATTGGCCCACGGTGACCCCAGCTTCTCCAGGGAGGCCCAGATGGGCTCCAGAGCGCTCCTCGCGAGGCCCAGATGGTCCCAGCGACTCCGAGATGGCGCTGGAAGCAGGCACGCCCTCCCAGTGACCCAGACCTTCGATCTCGTGATTTGCTCACAGCGTGGCTCCCCAGAAGTTAGAACCCCTCCCGCGCAGAACTGCGCTCTGGCGGTCCCGAGGCCCAGTGAGGGGCCCCCGGAGGCCGAGCCTCGCCAGAAGCAGTCCGCCGTGATTCTCGCTGCGCCCCGACGGCGTGGCGGCACAGCGGGCCCCGAGCAGCAGGTCGACCCTGCCAGAGCAGGGGTGCCCTTTGCGGCCTGCGTCTCTCGACGCGTGCTGCCCGCATTCCTGTGGCAAGGAGGCCCTCGGGAGGGTCTCGCGTCCCCTCGCGTCGCGTGTCCTCTCCAATCAAGGCCGAGTGCAGTGGTGGCCCTGGACGATCTTGTCATCGAGCAGGGTCGTCGCGAGGCCTCCAGCCTCGAGCTCCAGGTTCCCGCTGGCGACCGAAGAGCCTATGCTTGGCGGTGCGTCCGAACGGTTCGAGCTCTCCAGCAGCCCTCGCCAGGGGCAGTCATAGGGGAGGTCGGTTCGAGGGGGTCGGTTTCCTCGGAAATCGCCGAGCGCGGTCCACAACTCGCAGTGCCTACTCCCAAACGTCAGAAAACCATACGTCTGCCTTTGTGTAATATGCCGTGGACTCCCTGCGGCGGATTCAGGCCATTTGCGAGTAGCTCCTTTGCGAGTAGTGGAGCGCGCCTGTCCAGGAAAACGAGGATCGAGGTTGTCTGACGTTGCCGCGGACATACGACAGTCTTCAACCTCGGGAAGCGTTCCGGCAGCGCCTCGCCGAGAGTGTTCCAGGTGTGCTGGAATCATCCCGCACGGCCGCCGGACACCTGAGATATGGCCTGAAAATCCTAAGTCGGGCCTGTCCCCCTAGGAATATTCAAAAAGATTTTAAAAATAGTCAGGGGACGATTTCTGAGTATGTTTGAAGACTTTTCGAATATGTTTTGACTATTTCTATTTTTCGTCCAAAATCCGCCTGTAGGGGGACACGCCCGACTTAATGAAAATCAGGGGGGGGGAAAGGGGCAGGCGGGAATACATCGACCCCCCATCGCCCATACGTCAGGAAAGAGTGGGCCTGATAGCTCACTCCCCCCAGGAGCGTGCGGTCTCGCCATCGAGAGCCTGTCGGCGATGCATCGCCGATTCAGGCCCGATGTTCCCCCCCCCTCCCCTTTGGCTGCATCCCCCCCCTTATTTCTGGGAAGCCTCCTCCTCCTCCTCCTCCTCCTCCTCCTCCTCCTCCTCCTCCTGAGGAGGGGGCCTGTCCGAGGCCCCGCCCCCTTGACACGCGGAGATGGAGCTGCACGCGCGGGGCTCGAGCTGCTGGTCTGCGCGCAGAAGCGCGCTGGCGGAGGGTTGGCCGAAGGCGTCCTGCATCAGCAAAGACGCCCTCGAGGGCGCGAAGTTATTCGCGCTTCGCGCTTCGCGGTTCGGCTCCGATTCCTACTCATCCTCCTCTTCTCCCTTGGGAGGCCGCGCGAGAGCGCGAAGTTATTCGCACTTAGCGCTTCGCGCAGCGCGAAGCGCGAAGTTGGGAGCCTTTGCATCAGCTGGTCGAGCGTCATCGTGATCATGCAGTGGGGGCGCGCATCGAGAGACCAACTTAGGGGAACAAAAAAGGTCATAAACATAAAAACTCGGAGGTCCGCGCGGATTTCTCGGATCGGCGCTGGGCCCCCCGGCGGCGCCTCCGGCGCCGCCCCCGATCCGAGAAATCAGCGCGGACCTCCGAGTTGTTATGTTTATGTCATTTTTTGTTCCCCTAATAGAGTGGGGGCGCGCATCCAGAAGCCAAATCCTTGTCGCCATGATATCCTGGGTTTGTTCGATCCGCGCGCTGCGCGGCGACTTCCGACGGCCGTTGAGGAGCTGCTGCGCTCAGGGTGCCCCGGGCTTCCCTCCAGTCGCACCTCTCGCGCGGGTTCTTAGGGTTAGGTTTCTTGCGAGGGTTTCTTGCGGCCGCGTTCGCACAAAGGAGCTGGCCTCTCATTAAGTGTCGCTGGGAACCTGCTGAATCATGGACCGAGCAGGGCTTGGGAGCACCATTGGCGTCTCGAACGTGCGCTCCTAGCTCCCGTGCCGACCGTTTCGTATAGCAGCTGCGTGCGCTTCACTTGCGCATTGCCAGTCGCGTTTCACAAATGCCATCGTGTGGTCGGCCCGTTGCTCATAGCCATGGTAGGCATAGTGTTTCGCAGAGGACGCGGGGGAGCTGTTCCACTTCCACAAGGGGGTGCTGTGTTGTTGTAGGTTATAGACTCGAGAGTATATATATAGACCTCTGTGTGTATATACTTATACAATACATATGTAGATAGGCTGCGTTGCAACGTACATACACGACAGCACATAAAACATAACATTGTAAGGGAATGAGGATCTGCCCCTCGGCGTGTTCTGTTAGGACTTCTGTCTCAACTAGAACCGGCACAGAGCAGCTCCTCCTCCTCCTTGTTTTCGGAACGGGAATAGTACAGGACCAGGCCATCTTGGATTTTCATCCGCTCTCTGTCGAGCTCTGTGCCTCATTTCGGCGGCGAGCGAGGAGGGGAAATGAGAAGTAGAAGGCCTTCCAAGATGGCAGCGAGACTTCTCAGACTGCGAGGGATTATGTGAAGGCTCAGACAAATTTGTCAGAAGGCCGGGGGACTTCCGAGCCTTCTGAGAAGGCCCACCCCTTCTCACTTCCCCCTGGGCTCGCCGCCCCAGGCTTCCCTTCCCTCGTCGGGGCTTGGAATCCGCAGCGTCGCCCAGTTCCTCTTCCTCCTCTTTTTCCTCCTCCTCGTTCTTCCCCCACTCCTCCTCCTCCTCCTCCTCCTCCTCCTCCTCCTCCTCCTACTCCTCCGCTCGTTCTCCTGTCCTCGACTCGCCTTGCCTCCGCTCTCCACACGCCTCGGCGCGCCCGTGGCGGCACACCCCTCGCACGGTTCGTGTGTCTCAGTGGGCGCGGCAGCGTGGCACCACCGCGCCCACCTTGGCACACGCGTCACACGGCTGGTGCCCCACAGGGACTACGGCTCCAGCCCCTGCCCACTGCGACACACCCCTGACACGGATCGTGCCCCACAGGGAGTTTCACCCGCGACCTGGGACGCAGGGTTCGCACGCGTCCCCCTGCCCATTTTGGCACATCGCTCACACGGGCCTTGCTTCACAGGGAGCTCCACCTACAGCGCGGGCAATATTTATATGAATGCCCAGTGCGTCTCGGATTTTCCTGGAAGGGGCACCGCAAGGCCGAGGCGCCCTGGATGTGGACACACATCGATCTTCTACAGGGTCCAGATTCTGAACCACATCCGGTGCGCCTCGGGGTTCTGGCGGAAGGGCGCCCGAAACTCCAAGCTGCAGTGGGTATGGACACAAGTCTTGCCCGCATACAATACCAGCGAAGCCGCTCCTGTGCGACGATGGCACCACATATCATACCCACACAGGAAGGTTCGCCACCATGTTCACGTGACGTTGGTAAGGGCCTGTTGCCCCGCCACGCTGCTGCTGTGCTTACACCAACCATGACCCATGCAGGCTCGGCCTCTGCGGTGCGCGCCTGCTCCTGTGTCCACCGCTGTGGACCCGTGCCCCCGACCAGGCGAAGGCCGCGCAGCACGACCCCACTGCGGCCAAGCAGAAGGGCGAGAAAGTCCCGGCACCCTAGGCTGCCGCTGATGCGGTCTGGGCTGTGCTCCTGCCCCCGAGTCTGAATTTACACGGCCGACAGCGCACCGCGGAAGTGCGCATTGCCCGGGCCAAGTGTTTTTAAGTACATATGAAGACCACAGCACCTGCCCATGGCAGGTGGATCTGAGCGCGGCAGTGTCGACCATTCTCAGCACACTCTGTTCCCAGTGTGCGTGGTCTTGCTGCTGCCTTCTGCGAGTTCCGTGTGGGCTGCTTGGCAGGGGGTTGGTGTTCCGCACCTCTTTGGACTGGAGAGGTCAAGGGGAAGGAGGAGGAGGAGGAGGAGGATGAGGAGAAGGAGGAGAGGGAGGAGGAGGAGGAGGAGGAGGTGAGGAGGAGGAGGAGGAGGAGGAGGAGGAGGAGGAGGAGGAGGAGGAGTCGAAGGAGGAGGAGGAGGAGGAGGAGGAGGAGGAGGAGGAGGAGGGAGAGGCGAAGGAGGAGTTTTTGGGCGGAGCTTCCCATCAGAGGAAGCAGCTCTGGGCATCGTGCGAGCGCCCCCCTGGCATTTCTGGCACGCAGGCAGCGTTCCGAAGTTCGTCTCGAGATCTCCAGGGCGCAGCATCCGCACATCGTTCGTTTCTGACTTTCCGCAGAAGGCACTTCTACGCCGCCAACACGTCTTGCCGTCCAGGGCCATCTTGGGCCCCAGAGCTGTGTGGACCGTCCTGGCCCCAGTGGCGATGCCGTATCGCATACACCATGCCAGGGGCCGCGATGGACTTCGCCATTCACAGTGGTGGTGTACACGTGTTTTCTGTTGTTCCGTGGATCTGCAGCGTGCGATCGTAAGATTTGCAACGTTTTGCGAGCGTTGCGTTGTTTCCACATGACGGGCGTTCCCTAGCAATCAAGGTTGACATGAGCGGTTCTCAATCAAGCACTATTATATACAAGCGTATGCACAAGTTGGGTGATGTTCAGTTTGGCTTGACATTGACGCTAGCACACTAGATGCGTGAAGTTCTGCCGTCCGACCCGCCATTACTGGACTGTCAGAGACCATGTTGTCCAGCGCGATTGTTTGAACGAGTTGCTCTGCTGGCCTACGCCTGCACCGCAGTCCTAGAACCGATGCTGCCGACCTTTTATCGTCTTGGGCGCATTTTAATGATGGAGCTCAGACCTGCAACCTGGCAATATGGTGACACGCGCCGAGGAAAAGATGCGCTGCTTACGTGGCCCCTGTGCAATACTATATCAGCGTAAGAACACTAGTAAGCTGGACCAACCGGCTGACACCTGCCCCCTCATTCTGCAAGAGGAAGAAGTGAGTTGAACGCCGCACACGGAGGACAGCAGGTTGACATGAACAACATTATTGTTCAGAGGGGGCAGCATTGTGTATATTATCATCCACGTTCGAGCCCGCCGCTCTGGGATTGCTTTCTACACGCTAGAGGGGGTCGCTTCTAAGCGAAAATGCATTTGTGGAGAGGGGGGGGCGCACATGTGGCCGCCCCAGTGAGACGATATCCCCCACGACGCCGCGAGAGGACCGCAGGAGGCCGCCAAGAGGAGCCGCGAAGCCGCTCAGACATGTCGCCAGCTTCCGCTCCAGCAGCCGTGCAGGCAGACAGAGCCCCCGGCGCCGCGCCGGGGCAGGCAGCATTCAAGCAAAGCAAGCAGCGGCAGGCAGCCTGGACGTTCCACCTCATCAGCGCTTCCGTGATGAGGTACTCTGGGCCTCCTAGATGGGGTCCGAGTAGATGGGGTCGGAGGATCGCGTCGCATCGCCGATGCATGGACGATGCGGCTAGGTGTGGAGCGTGTGTTTCCCCATGCTGGCGTCGCCGATGCATCGCCAACGTCGCCGATGCAACGACGGTGCATCGCCGATGCATCGCCGATGCATCGCCGATGCATCGGCGATGCATCGGCGATGCGGCGCGATCCTCCGACCCCATCTACTTCGACCCCATCTAGGAGGCCTCTAGGTTCGCTCAGCAACGTTTGCTTAGCGTGTCGAACCGCCGGTTCTGGCCCACCACGCTTCGTTGCGACACGCTGCAGCTTGCAGGGCGTAGCATGCCGCAGCGGCCGTCGCCATGACGCGCTCGGCAAGAGTTCCCGACCTTCCGTTCTGCACCGGGTCGTGGCCCTGGAGGCGTGGACGTGGTAAGGCTTCGGGTTGCGCGCAGACAGCCCCACCAGGTAGTCGCCGCTGGCCTCAACATGCCCCCCGGGTAATCCGGGGCGCGGAGCGCCCTGGGGGCGCCGGAGGCGACGCCATGGTGTTGAGACCGGCCCGGGATCCTCAGGGGGCTTATCGAGGCCTGCTGGGACTCTTCGGGGGGCCTGTTGAGGCTTGCCAGGACTACAGTGGGGGGCTGTGGGTGCAGAAGCCGGAGCCTCACCACGTGGTCGCATCGTATTTTTTCAGATATGTGGAAAAGGGATCGGGATCGTATGTTTGACGCGTTGCAGAACGCCCCCCTATGCTGAGAGAAAGCTGAGCCTCGGGTCCTGAGGAGGTCGCGCGTTGAGCAGCGTGTGGCAACAGCAGCCTTGCTTCCTGAGCCGAGTGCGCCAGAAGTGATTACAAAAGGTTCATTTCTAATTGTTCTATCCTGGGCCTCTTCCTGGCCACCAGGGGGCTAGGAACAATTAGAAACGAACACAATTTGAAATGAGCACGATTAGAAATGAACGACGTGTGGTTGCTGGCTGAAAAGATATGCTATACCCTATAGATCGACCAAGATAACTTTTTTATCTTTGTTAACTTATTGCAATTTTGTCAACTTTCCGGAAAGTTGACAACTTTTTAAAAAGATGTTAAATTTTTGTTTTCCAGGCGTTTCCAACTTAACGAAACCACAGAGAAAAGTTAACATTTTGCTAACTTTTTTTTAACATTTTGGATAAGTTTTTTTCCGTCGAGACGCCTCTAACATGTGTTGCAATTGTTGCAGTTGTGTTGCAGTTTTGTTGCAGTTTTGGTGAAACTACAACGAAACTGCAACAAAACTGCAACACATGTGTTGCAGTTTTGTTGCAGTTTAGTTGCAGTTTTGTTGCAGTTTTGGTGAAACCGCAACGAAACTGCAACAAAACTGCAACACATATGTTGCATTTGTGTTGCAGTTTAGTTGCAGTTTTGTTGCAGTTTTGGTGAAACCGCAATGAATCTGCAACAAAACTGCAACACATATGTTGCAGTTTTGTTGTAGTTTAGTTGCAGGTTTGTTGCAGTTTTGGTGAAACCACAATGAAACTGCAACAAAACTGCAACACATGTGTTGCAGTCTTGTTGCATGTTCGCTGCAGTTGTGTTGCAGTTTCGTTGGGGATATATTTGCAGTTTTGTTAAGCAGTGTAAAAGCATGCACTACACATCAACACATGTGATGCATCATTGGTGCAATTGTGATGTAGTGTTATTGCAGTTGTGTTGCGAATTTGTTGCAGACGTGTTGCAATTCTTATTGCTGCGACTTCGCAGGCATTGTGATGCAGAGGGGGAGATGTCGGATGTGGCGCGAGTGCGCATTAGCTTGCAAATACAGTATCCCCCTCCTCTCTTCGCTCATCTGCTGTGCCATATCCTCTTTCTTGCTGCCTGTCTTCTCTATCTCTTCCCCGTTGTCCTCCCTCACGAGTTGCATGTGTGCTCAGGAGGTCGGGGCGAGCATGCTCAGGGTCGGGGCGAGCATGCTCAGGGCACCTTTGCGGCGATTCTTATATATATATATACAGATATACACATAATTGTTATATCTATATATATATATATATATATGTATTGCATGTCGGCGTTTCATGTTCATGTGTGTTCGGTAGCCACATGTGGACCCACCCCTACCCGCAGCGATTCCTGAAGGGGGTGTGGGGGAGTGGGGGCGTGTCTCAAGTCACTCGGGAGTTCCCGAGCGAAGACCCCCCCCCCATACTCCCTTAGGAATCGTATCTGGGGGAGTGCGTAGGGTCCACATGTGGCCACCTATTTCACTTTCGCCGCAAAGTCGCACTGAGCACGCCCAGTCCCGTCCCTCCACCGCCGCTGCGATGGCCCCTCGTGCGAAGCCGGACACGGACATCTCCGTCACGGAGATGTACACGGTCTTACAAAAATGGATGCGCGAACGGCGGGCATGGAGGGGGGAACAGGAGGAAGGGAGGTAACAGCAACGAGTGAGGGATGGAGAGAGAAAGGGAGCTCCCCCTCGCCCCCTTCCTCCCCTCCGTTTCGCCCCCTCCTTTCCTCCCCCTCGTTCCCCCCCTTCCCCCTTGCCCCCGCTCGCGCGGGAGGAACACCAGAGACCTCATGGGCGTGATCCGGCCACTTCAAGAAATGGCGGCCCACAGG